GTCACTAATCAGGTAATGGAAAAAGGGGGAAAGAGGAAGACTGACGGTGTGCCGGCATGCGAGGGGAGTAGGCTCGGCCGCAGGCGGTGATGGATGTTGTGTTAGTTTGATCTCCACCAATTGCCCGGTCATTGGATCAGCGCTCTGATCGGGGGCGCCCAACCGCTCCATGGTTGGTGGGCCCGTCGCACAGCACAATAAAGGGAGGTGGGGGCCGGGGCTCTATTTACGGGGTTGATCCGAGCCGCCGTAACCCACCCACAGTGAAACGCTAACCGATCAAGAGACGGTGCTGCGGTGCTGCCAGCGACGGGAAGCCGCCACCGACCTCACCGTCGCCTCTGCAGTGCCATCACTGCGCCTACGCTACTACGACAACAGAGGCTACGTCGTTGCGGCACCACGGCCGCAACTGCCCTAGGGCGAGGTACATCAACAGTTCCCTATCTAAGAGCAGTTTATCCCCTGATCTACGTTTTAGAGGTACTATGACCCATCAATGTTACCAGAGACAGGTTTTTCTAGTAAGTAGATCTAGATCGGGGTAGTAGCAGTTTAGAATAGATGAGAGAAATCCAATTCGGATCGAAGCCGAGGGTTCCTAACCCTAACCCTAGAAGGGGAAGAACAACAGAAGAAAGAGAGCCCGATTCGGATCGACCCAGATCGAACCCTAACCCTAGAAAACCAAGGACGGAAAGGGGAGGACCTACCAGGGCTTCTCCACCGCCGTCGCACCGCCGCTGCGCGGAAAGAAAGTTCCGACACCACGCGGGTAGTTGAACCGCCGCTCGCCGACGAGACGCCGACGTGTGGGCTCGAAAGGCAGGGAGATGAACGGTGGGTCCGGCCAAACCCGAACCCTAAAACCCTAACCCTAACAGGCAAGAGGATGGCGTGAAGAGAGAGGCGTACCTGGACCTCGCCGCTGTCACCACCGCCACCGCGCGGGTTGTTCACCGAGATCTCGCCGGTCCGCCGCGCGGTCTCCGACGACTCGGGGCTCAGGGCGTCGCCACAAGGCCGCTCGACGGTGGCGCGCTCAGCCACGGGCGCGCGCGTGCGCCGGCGAGGGGCCCCGCAGCGGCGGCGTACCTTTTCTTCTTCTCCGGCCGCCATGTGAGCCGCTGCTGCGCTTCCCTCTCGCTTGCTTGGCTGCGGCACTGAGGGATGAGAAAGATGGGGAAGGGGAAGAGTGAGTTAGGGTTTCGGGTGCTGACCGCTGCGTCGCGGTTTTGATCCGCCGAGAAGGCCGCGTGACCATCGATCTAGATCGGACGATGCAGAACGATCGGGCCAACAACCGGCCCAGGCGGGAGCGCGTGGCCGCGCGGCATTGCCGGCCCAGGCCCAGGTTGCGGCCTGGGTGCGGGCAGCGTGCGTGCAAGGGAGCTGGGCCGGGCGGCTTTTTGTCGTTTTGGGCCGAGAACCAGTCTAGATTTAGCCCAGTTTTTTCTTTTTTTGTTTTCCAGTAAATGTTTATTTCTGGAAAATAAAAAAATGGTTCAAAGAAAAATAGTAGAAATGTGAATTTTCCTGTGGGTAAAATTCACGAATTATGTTTAAGTTTCCTGCAAAGTTTAATGTGTATTATTTTCTAATTAAATTCGAACCAACGGGAGAATTTAATTCGAAGAGCAGCTATATTCAGTAAACTAAGATTATGTTTATCCTCTAATTAAATTGAAACCAACGGAAAAATTTAATTAGAGGAGTAGTTATTTATATAAGATTATGATATCGTTATTTTCTGACCAACGTTAATGATGACAATATTATAACGAATTTAAATTTGAAGTTTAAATCTCTGGTAAATTTTACATCAACGTGGTGAATTTTCAGAGAGTAGATAAGGACCAAGAAATGCTCCTGAACTAAAAGAATGTATTTCATTTAGTTTTCGCTGCAATGAAGTTAATTATCTTCTCATTAAATTTGAACCAACGGGAGAATTTAATTTTGAAGAGTAGTTATATGTATTTCAAGTTGATTTATGAGTTCTATGCATTAATTCTATTTTCTGTCCAACGGTGATGTAGAATTGATGCAGAAGCATATTGTATGTTTTATATTAACCGAAATCACTCGGCTGCATGTCAATGGGCTGCAAAGCTATGGTATGTGAATGGAACAAGCCAGTTCCGGATAGTTTTTTATTAGTTTACTAATTTTCTGATTAAATTAGAACCAACGGGAAGATTTAACTGAAAAATGAAGTATAAGTGAATGTTTCAGTCGTCGTGACTAAGTTTTCTTATAGATGTATCCCGCATGGGAAGAAGCTTTGGCATAGTAATTATGCTAGTCCACCCAGTATGACGGGAGAAGTTTTGTGATGATTCACATGTTTTGTATCCCGCATAGCGAGAGAAGTTTAGGTAGCTCTTATGCTGTCCTAGTATTGACCTTGGCACAATAGAAATGAATAGTCATGGTCAATACTAACCAAAAGATAAGAAAAGATGCAAGTGTGACTTGCAAAAGTATCGCTAATGAAAGACCTCGTTGAGTTCTTAAAGTGAATTAAGGAAAGTGTACTCCTAAACGGATCAAGAAATAACTTTGTTTACATGACACAATCATGTGAATAAAGTAAGTTATAAGTGTCTCCTCGTTTACAGGTTTTCTGAATAGTTATCGAAATTATGGCAGTAAAGTTCATGCCATATTTCGAGGGGGAGAAAAATATAAAGAACAATTAAGAAAGATACTCTTCATTAAGAGTGAGATAAAGATTAATTAAGATAAATGTGACCGTAAGACGAGTATAACGGTTACAAGGGTAGGTGCAGTGGACCAGAGCCACTCTAGTGCAAATTGAACTGCATGTCAAGAGAGTTTTATTCGTATAAAACTGAATTCTTCTATTTTTTTTCATTAAAACGATGCCATATTATAAAAAATACATATGTGGCAGGTTATTAAATGCAAATGAAACTACAAAGAAACTCCACTGGCCTTAACGATTGAATTCACCACCAGACAAATGAAACAATGTATGCATATGCATGTAAGAACACAACTCAGAGCACCTGTGTTGACCAAGCAAACACAACCAAGCGGTTGAAGGATCAATGCACGTACGTCAGGGTCAGAAAATCGCTGTGCTGCGCCTTGAACTGGAGCTGAACAAGGGCGACGTCTGCTGGTTGGTGGTGCCCATGGCACGCGATGGCGCTGCCGACGGTGGCAATTACCGCGACGAAGCGGAGGATGGGGTCGAGCACGGCCAGCCGCGCTGGGTGTCGAGGAGTAGCCAAGACGGGGAGGCACGGACCGGGCCCGAAGCGGGCGGAGCATGCGTCGTCGGCGCCGGGCACGTTGCGGAGGAAGCCCACTATCGCCTATCGGGGCACCTCAGCACCGCGTGAGCTTGTCCACGACGCCGGACGTACTGCGCGTCCGCTCTCCCATCTCCTACGAAACGCGCACCGCCTGCTCGCTTGCGGCCTCCGGCACCCGCAGCACCTTCTTCTTCTTGTCAGTCCACCATGGTCATCCCGGCCGCGTGCGCGACCAGCTCAGCGTGACCCTCGGCGCACGTACGTGCACAGCTGGTCCAGCGCCACAAGTGCGAGAGCTCGTTGACACGCCTCTCGGGGTCGTCGAGCAGGAGGTCCTCGAATGCCGGCACCGGCGCCCGCGATCTTGACACGGGTCCGGCCGTAGGGACAGAGCGTGGCGAGGGCGTACAGCGCTACCTTGGTCGACTGCGTCGAGAAAGCTCCTGGATCGGAGCGTCTAGGGAGGAGGCTGATGCGGTCCTCGGCTCCACGCCGTCGGCCGTCGGCCGTCGCCCGGCGCCGCCGCGCGAACGAGTCGTGGCCCACGCCGTCGTCGGATGCCACCCAGAGTCAGAGGAGGTGAGCGAGAAGCAATCGTCGTCGGGAGTCGGAGTCGACCTCGGAGGCCGGGACGTAGGGCGCGGCCGCACGGGCAGGAGGGAATGAGGGATGGCGGCAAGCCGAGGACGAACGTGGAACGGGGAAAGACATTGGGGCGAGACAAGAGAGAGCGGAAGGAGGTAGGAGAACATATGCTCCCCTGCTCTTGGGTGCTCCATGCTCCCATTGAAAACCCATGAAAAAGTTCTTCAAATTCAACAAAAATTATAAATAGATAGATGATGCGAGCATCCATCTTCATGCAAAATTTGAGGATGAACAAAAATTTCTACAAGGAGAAACAGAAAAGAGAAAATAAAGATATACTTGGATCGGAAGAATGGGGCAAGATAGCAAGAACATATTGGGCTTAACTCCGCAGATTCTGATCATAGTGTTTCAACATGACTCATAGCCATATACGGATATACAAAACTCACATACTGAAAACCTATTGAATGAACTTCCCTTCAACTACATCAAGCAATTGAATCTCTCAAAATGCAGCATTTACAACAATGGTGGAGTACCAGTACGGTTTCCCAGGCCATCCACCATGACATGCACAATGCAGTGCACAGTACAGGCTACGGAAACGGGATCTGCTTGGAAGAATGGTACACAAATAGTTTGCCATCCTTCCTCTTCCGAGGTTCTGCTAAGCAGCATGTAGCATCTGTGTATCGTCGGATTTCCAGACGACGTCCTTTAAGGTCTTGGAAAGGTTCTTGTAGAACTGCAGAAATTTGCAGCTTACACATTTAAGTACATACTGTTCAAACAAAAGATGCTGAAAGAACAAAACAAAGTATGAATTGCAGTAACTTAGTGAATCCGAACTACTGGTTACTGGACAAGCAGACGGATAGGGATTAATCAGCTTGTTCAGGTTATGATTCAGCTTCTGAACTGTAGTACATGAATACATATGTTTCTTTATTGGCATGATCTTTGCATGCCTCACAGTTACCTTATGAAATTCCAGAGTGTCACCTTTTGCTTTTCGGACTTCCAACCATGTGAAGAGAAGGTGCAACTTGCAGTATCTGAATCAATATGAATAATAAATGTTAGGCAGATGAAGTTTACAAAAAGAAGGAAACCAATTAAGCTTACCTCAGTAGCAACATTGAGGTTTCCCTTCCTCCCTGCCTTTACCATTTCGAGCCTCAACTGATCACACAATGAAAAAGATAACTTTTAGCATGCAGAAAGATATATTTAAAGTTCGTATTCGTTTCGAGAAGTCATGCCCTCAACAAAATATTCAAATAATAAGTTATTAGAGTTACATGTAGGTACCTTGTAGTTTTTCTTCTGAACATCAAATCCTAGAGGTTTTGCAGCTTCCTCAATCTTGCGGACAATTTCTTTGGGTGGGCATTTTGATGTAAACCTTGTTTCTCTTTTGAACTCCTGCAGATACAGTGACTAAAAATTAGAGTAGAGACTACATAATTGTAAGGATGTAAAATCATGATGACCATGATGGGAAATCCTAAACTGAGAAAAAAATTGTAAGTACTGTTGGAACTAACAGTCTGACCACATAGGCATATAGAACTAGAATTAGCTTGAAACATCCTTTGTAATTGTGTAATTGGATTTTACTGGCATAATTCAAAGGAAACCAAGTGCACACCACACAGCAGGCAATGTCCTTAGAAAATCATGATGATTTATGCTGTCACAAGTTGCAATTTAGAAGTTCTAGGTTACTACAGAGCACTCAGGAACATCCTTTACCTGCTCTGAGTCGAATAAGTTTCCAAGGTTTAGGCCTGCTGACATTGAAATCAGTTCAAATGCATTCAGAGCTACTGGTTCTTCTTCTTTCTTTTCTGTCACATGGTGCTCCTGAATGATGGCAAATAACAATTGTAAAACTAGTTAGTAAGTAAAATCTGTGACATTATGCATGAGAAGATAATAAAAATGCACCATTTACTCACTTCTGAATCATTGAAGACAGCATCCACATCATCCAACGTGGTGTCATATTTCTCATCAAACTCTGGGCGCTTGTAGCCCTTTTTGAACCACTCATCCTCTAATATTTCTGGGATTGTTATTCTCTGCCATGGTTTACCAAAATGTGAGTCTAATCCAATGGAGTAAGATAAAATTATGGAGGCACATTCATTTTGAAACCAGACTCAAGCTCAGCACATTATCAACCCATCCTCGACGGGAAGTTGCAAATTTGCAATTTTTTATTGACACAAAGGGTTTCATTTTGAGATATGTGCATTTCCAAATTCCCTATACTTTTTGTCTAATAGAAAACTGATGTTTTTTTTACTCAACTGCAGCTAACAGTGGCTGCATACTCGCGTACATTAGGAACTTCTAAAATTTGTGTTAATTTGAGTTACATGACAAATGCTGGATCTATGGGAATACCATTTAATTAATGGATATTGGCAGCATCAGGTTATCTATGAGCCTACTGTGGGATACATTATATGGTGAATGCAGATCTGTTCTATTCAACTATCCTAGGGTTAATTCACTAGTATTTTTATTTTCAAGCAGCTTTTGTGCTCTGGCATACCGTCATTGGATTTGGATCAAGGATTCTTGTTAACAACCTCTTGGCAGGAAAAGATGTCCACGGTGGAAATGTAAATTCTGCATTTGATATCTGCCAGGAAAAGAAGGGTAAAGTCAAATAAGCATGAATAAGCAAGACTGCAGCAGTGACCTAAAAGCCATGAAATTCTCACTTTCTTATACAAAGTCATGAGATTAGAGTCCTCAAATGGCAAATACCCTGCTAGCAGAACAAACAGGATAACTCCACATGACCACAGATCAGCCATTGCACCATCATAGCCTTGATCTTCAAGGACCTATAACGAAGTTGATATAGATATTTAAATGATTGTATTCCTAACGAACAATAATTTTAATATGCATTATTGGTTCATTTTATATACTTTTCTGGCATTACCTCTGGTGCAACATAGTTTGGAGTCCCACAAGTTGTGTGCAGCAGTCCATCATCCTGAACAAGATAAAAGAGACAAGAAACATGCTTAAAAATATGCTGAAGGGTCTGAAGATTTTCAAGCTTGAAGGGCTATGGTTGTTTGTTGAGCAAAATGTGCGAATTTATACCCTGTAATTACCCAGTACTCATTGGTAACTTGTAGACATACAAGCAAGAAGTCATTACCTTCATTTGCTGAGATAGTGCACTCAGCCCAAAGTCAGAGACCTTCAGGTTTCCATATGAATCAAGCAGCAAATTTTCAGGCTGCAAGTATCATAGTTTAGATTCTGAAATAGAGTTCTTAATTGCAGAAAAAAAGCACACAGAGAAAATGAGCTTACTTTTAAATCCCGGTGGTACACACCCCTGCTATGACAATAATCAACTGCATTGATTAATTGTTGGAAGTACCTCCTTGCCTCATCTTCCCTCATGCGACCATGGTTAACCTTTACAATGAGGAATACAGACAATTAATAAAAACCTGTTGGCGGTACATTGAACTCTGTGGGCACTGAAACAGTAAGGCCGTGGGTATAGCAGAAACTGCATAAACTGGAATGGGCAATGTGCATATCACTTACAATTTTATCAAAGAGCTCGCCACCGGTAGCAAATTCTAACACAATGTAGATCTTTGTTTTACTTCCCATCACCTACAAATTAATGAAAGCATCAATTTCGCATGCTCCCAGTGAAAAGAAAATGTGCACACTAAATGATTATGCTAGGACATATTCTGACTTTTCTTTTCTGATCAATGACTTTGTGAGATCAACTAAAAGACCAAGAAAGGTACCTCGTATATGCGGACGACATTAGGGTGCTTGATCAACTTCATCGTCGAGATTTCCCGCTTAATCTGCATTCAATGAAGCATGTAAACATTTCACCAACAAGGAGCTGCTAATTCAATGTTGAACAAAGTTGCTAAGCCCATAGACCAGGCAAAAGCAGAGACACTACGCGGGGCAGAGACAGACCCCACAATCAACGAGATGTGAAACACCACCAAACTTTAGAAAGAAAGAAAGAAAAAACACAGCAATAATTCAAAGTACGTAACTGAAAGCGACCTTACCTGCTCGACCATCTTGTGCTTGAGGACCTTCTCCTTATCTAGGATCTTGATGGCTACGGCCTCGCCGGTCACCGTGTCCCTCGCGAACCTGACCTTTGCGAATGTGCCTTCGCCTATGGTCCGGCCGAGCTCATACTTGCCCACACGTCTCTTCACCTTGGTTGTACTCATTCCCTGCCTTCTCACCCCCTTTGGAACGGAATATCCGGGAGCTTCTACTGTCCTGAGTGGAAAATTTCACCCAGATTGTTACAGGATTACTGTACAGCTGACGGTGAAACAGATGGCAGCAGGATAGACACGAGTTGAATCAGAGTATGCTGCATGTCGTCTACTCTTTGAGGAAACCACGGAAGGACAATGATATGCAGTAGTCAATTGTTATGTTGGCCTGCAGAAGTAGAAGGCGCCCCAATTGAAAGAAAATCCACGACAGTCAACAGGTGAACAGCCGTCGGTTCAGCTTGTTTGTTATTCCTCTCCGGCTCTCCCACTCCCCACAGGAAGCAAGCAAGTCGTCAGGAAATTGGTGAACAATTCAATTCATGTATGGGGCTGCTAAGTACCTAGACAAGATCTCACGAAATCCAAAATCTGTTTTTTTTCCTTCTCTGTCGCTCACAGGAATAATCTAATCAATTGGGAGTCAAAGAGAAGTTAGACCATCCTTTGCCTTTGGCTTTGGCTTTGCCTCCTTGGGATCTGGACAGAATATTATGTGGCAATATGCCAGTATCATCAGACAGGATGGGAACTGCCTACCTCTAATAACCAAGCTAGGCACTCCATTGAATTGAATATTCAGTCAGTCATCCACAAAGGGTAAGATAGCAGGCGAAGGGCATATTCATATCCATATTCCTATTCGGCTATTCCATCCGTACGAGTTGGGCAACAACTATCCAAGAAACATGGTCAGAAGGGGTAAAAAAAAGGCATTTTCAGGCTGGGGAAGGGAGATGATCAGATGAAGCAGCAGGAAGGACGGAGGCCCAAGAAGCTCTGCACTGCAGGAAAGCTAACAACAGCAAGCAGGGGAATACGTGGACGGAGAATTCAGCAGACGCCCGTAAGATTTTCAGGTGGTGCTGCCTTGGACGAAGCACGGACGAAAGAAATTCCTCCCCCCCCCCCCCCCCCCCCCTTGTTGTTGTTGTTGTTGTTGTGATATATATAATCATCAATCCAAACACGAAAAGAAATTCCCATTTATGCCGTGGATGGAACTCGAAAAAAGAAGAAGAAAAGAATTCCATTTTTGTTAATCCAAACACCGACAGGAACAGAATTGGGGAGGGAGGATGAGAGCGCGCACGCACACAGAGCGCAGGGATTGGTTGCAGTTGCAGAGAGGAGAGAGCAGGGCAAGGAAGGGAATAGAGAAGGGAAGTGGGGGAACTTACAGGCAGATGGATGAACCAAGTCAAGTCCGAGGAACGCAGAGCTCGCAGATGCACTCTATCCTGGTGGCGAAAGGGATCTCGGGCTGGAAGCGGCTGCTGGGGAGACGAAGAGCTGATGGGTGGCGCCTCGGGGTCAGCACGCAGGCAGACAAGCAGCTGCTGTCACGGGAGGAGAGGCAGCTTGATGGCCTCTAGTAGAGTATTATAGTGGCAGTGGCAGGAGCAGAGCAGGGAGGGAGATGGAGATGAAGCGAGAGGTGGGGGACGAGGACGAAGGACGGCCGGAGGAAGGAACGAATGAATGAATTCCAACTGCATCCATCCACCACATGGACTGCACAAGACGGCGAGAAATGGACAAGCTGCCAGCCAAGCCTTTCTTGTTGGAAAGAAGGAAAAAAAAAAGTCTGCCCACTACACAACTACTATATGTTTTATATAATTTCAACACCGCGGCAAGCAAAATTAAGATCTAACGACATAGCCGTCTACATCGGACCGGACCGGAACGGATGGGTCATAAAATCGCGCGCCGTCGTGATCACAAATCACAGTAAACAATTTTTCTTTTGTATGAATGGACAAATCACGTATTCGCCACCACCGCAGGTCGCGTTGAGGACGAGTGGCCAGCAGGTGGCGCTGTAGCGAGTGGATAAAACGAGCTCTCCCTCCACGCCTCCGTCGCCGTCAGTACGGGTCCGGCCGGCCGGCTGGCCTCTGTGGGCGGCAGCGCCACATGCACGTATGCTGCGGAGAGTCTGCACGCATGGTGCTCGCCGAGTCGCCGTTGCCACATCACCGCCAGGAATCTCGCACGGCAGACAGCAATCAGAACACTGCATGCAGCGCCAAAAAAGGAACTTTTTTAAATAAAAAACTGAAATTAACCTGAAGGAAGGGGAAAAGGACCCCTTTTCTGGTAATAACTGAAATGAACCTGAAGGAAAAAGACTTAAAGAGTTTATTAGGAACAAAAAAACAAACTGAAATTAACCTTAATTATTAAGGAAATGAAAGGAGCTTTTTAATCCGATCACTTCAGCGCCAAAGAAAAAAGACATTTATATATATATAAAAAAAGAAACTGAAATTAATCTGAAGGAAAAAGGGCCTGTTTTTCTTGTAACTGAAACGAACTTGAAGGAAAAAGAAACCTTTAAAAAAAAATTAAAATTAAGCTGAAGGAAAAATGACCCTTTTTCCTGTATATATATATGTAACTGAAATGAACCTGAAGGAAAAGGAGCTAATTTTCCCCCTTTGTAACATCAGCTCGCTTCTTTACAGCTCCGACGCATGCATGTCGACCCCGCGCCATGCATGGACAAACCATGGCGAGGACAAACGTATAGCACAGTCGTACGTGATGATGAGCGAGTAACCAACATGAGACATGACAATGACATCTTTTGTCGCTACTCCGATTCAACCACACGGCCGGATACACACGTTTGTGGCGAGGAGCGAGCAAAATTCTAATTTGATTTACCGACGCACAGCGTCTTCCTCGTGAAGCCCCTTCGTCGGAGGAGGGCAGCGGGCGCGCAGGGCAGGTGGAAGGCGGGCGGTGAGATTGGGAAAATCTCCAACATCCTCTGGCTCTAGAGGGATGGCTGGGGCGACGTTTGGCCCGATGGTGGTGGCGAGTTGCTGTCGGTGAGTAGGCCTCGGTGAGTAGGCGGTGGAGGACATCTGGTTGGGTGGAGTCGGCGAGGGGCGAGGAGTTGCCGAGGAGGTGTCCGATTGGGATCAGTGAAGGGCGGGGACGGGGGTGGGCGGCGTGGCGGTGAGGACGCCGGCGAGGTCGCCTGTGGCCCAGGCAGTGCTTGAGGTGACGGAGGGAGGAGATAGATGGATGCGAACAGAGGAGGAAGAAGACCGTGCGCCATCATCCTTGTTAGAGTAAATAGAAATAGTACCACATTATCTACTCACATGGGGTGTTAGTCCTATGTACCCTTTATAATCACCCCCATGAGGCTCAATACAATATATCCAATTCCACCAATTTTATTCTCCTTCATAGTATCATTCGCCTAGGTTTAGATCCTAACCCTAGCCATCGCCTCTTCTGCATCATGCGCCCCCGGGGAGAGATCGCTCGTTGCCATCTTATTGATCATTGCCTTCTTATCGCTCGTTTAGGCACCCGATCCTATTGACCCGGCTGCCATCGTCGTTGTCCGGCCATCGTTGTTTCGCGCATGAGCATCGGATCGGGCTTTTCGAGAACATCACGACACTCATCGCGTTGTCCATCGCCACGTTGACTCCCACTGCGGCAACCTCGTGTGACCCGCGCTAACTGTAACGGACTCTGACTCCGTGCGGCCTGCACCGCGTTGTTAGGAACACCCAATCCCCTGCTGTTGTATCTTTTTGGTTCACCCGATCACTGATCGGGGTTGAGCCGCCCATGGCCCGTTGACCTTGCGCTTACTACTCCGGCATCGGCATCGACTTCACTGGGATCTATATCGTCGGTTCGTCATCGCCATGAACAGATCGGGATGCCTCCCGGCTCCCATGACGTCCATCGTTGAGTCCTACACGCATCTTCTTCGAGCAAAAAGGGTTGCTGGCTTGCTTCTATGTTGCCTCGTCAGGCCACAACACCGTCGCCCGTGTGTCCGCTTCGCCGTTGCATCTACGTCGCCGTCCCCTGTGCATCGGTTACTGTGCTGCACAATCTTTATTGCGCCATCTGTCTGCACAAGGTCTTCGTCTTGCTGATTGGGTCTTCGTCCTCGAGCTACTGCTACCCGCATGTGTCACTGAGCCCTGCTCGCCGGCCACCCCCTCACGTTGTTGCTGGGCCTTGCTTGCTTACGCGTTTGCTACCACACTGCTTCTTCTTCGTCCAGCACAACCACGTCGTCAGACGCTGATGTATGGTTGGGGCCCTGCCCCTTGTACGACCGGTATTGGCAACACCAACGCGTGCTTTCGTCCCCGATGCGTTGCTAGGTCTGGTAAATCCAACCTGCGCCTCGACGCTCAGACGGCTTGACTGCATCAACTTTGGCATCAGACCCTCCCGTTCCCACCCCGTCTGCCTCGATTGCATCGTCGTCTTTGTTCTACATTCACGACAGCACTGACTGCGTCGACTTCGACATCGCCTCTTCCCACAACGACTGCCTCGACGCGCCTCCGTCATCATCATGGCACCCCTCGTGCACCTACAGCTTCATCGACACGGACCATACCATAACTACGTCGACCTCGGCCATTTTAAGCATGGCTTCTTTGACTATCCTATTTACTCTAACATCCCCGCAGTCACTGCGGGAGCACCGCAGACGATGAGACTAGAGAAGAAGCTGACAAGCTAACAAACCTTACTGACACGCACGCTGATTAAAAGGCTAGAGGAGCGAGCGTTTGCTCATTAGATTTCTTCTTTGAAACAATTAACGCATATTACATAGCGAGCATGTTTGCTTCCCGACTTAAGAAACTTGTCTGGCATATCCCACTCCATATTATTCCATACTTTCATTTTCGACACCTGGAGTCGGATCAATCTGACTGGTGCAGCCTTTTATGTCATGGTGTGAACCAAACAAGCTTCACACATGTGAACGGCGAGTTATGTCGCCATGATATCATGTAATAACTCCGTTCCAAATTATAATTCGTTTGACTTTTTTTTTATCCAAAGTTTGACCACTCGTCTTATTCAAAAATCTATGCAATATATCACATCTTTTGTTGTGGCTTGCTTTATTAATAAAAGTTCTTCAAAAATAACTTAAATTTAACTATGTTTGCATAATTGCATAATTTTTTTAAATAAAACGAGTGGTCAAACTTAGGATAAAAAAGTCAAACGAATTATAATTTAGAACGGAGTGGGTATAGTACATGCATGCATGTTTATTAGTTCAGGTGTGTACTGGGACTACGACGCATAGTTTGGTGAGTCCGGGAGGAGCCGATTCACACTTAATTATTTGTCTTAAACCTGGCTTAATCCGCTTGTTTTTTAATCCAGAACAATATTTTTCTCTCATAAATTCTTCCAGCATTACTCCAAATCATCCAAATTCTTCTAGCCGGACACCCCCTAACACACGGAAACGAATTCCAGTTCGCATATATATGCACGCACATTATCACGTACTCTCGGACGTAAACAACCGAGGCCCTACATACAATCTGTGAGTCCGACAATTGTGTCAATTCAAATCCATAACCAGGGTGGTTGCCACCCTGCTCAATCAGTGCTGTTTTTTATTTCGTTTGCATTCCTATTATATAGGTCATTATTGCCTTATTGGTTGCGTACTACATCCTTTTTCTTTACATGTCGTTTTAGCTTTATTCTAAGTTAAATATTTGTATCTTTGACTATTAAAAAAATTATGTAAGTTCGTGACATAAGATTTACGTTTTAGATCCACTATGAGAAATACTTTCATAATTTATAATTCATATGCTATGAAATTATCAATTTTTAAAAAAAATGATGGTATGTTTGAGTTAGGACAAAACTAATGTAACATGTAAAACACAGTGAAAATAGTTAGTTTTAGCTTGTTTCCCACTTCACATTGTTATGTAATTAGTGTCAACCTCAGTTCTCCTTACGAATAGGATGTGGTCTTCGTTACTTCTTCGAGGATGGGGGTGTCACCTAAATTATATATTTTTCAACAAAACATTTACTGGGGACGATCTCTATAGAGCAACCGTGGGCACCCACCGTGGATTTGCGACACATGTCCATTTACATGCATCTAACACATTAGAGAATAATTAGTTTTTCTTTCCAACTAATGCCTTGTTTGGATGCATGTGTATTCACTTCAATCCACGTGTGTTGGAGTGGATTAGAATGGAACTTAGTTTAATTCCACCAAATCCACTTCAACACATGTGGATTGAGATGGATACATGTGCATCCAAACAAGCCCTAACTATTCCTCCTAAATTTAAGCAATAGTCTTATGCATTGGATGTATGTGCATGGACATGTGTAGCAAATTCATGTTAGGTACCCACAGTTACTCCATGGGGGTCATCCTCACTAATTTTTTCCCCATAATTTTGGCCTCATAACCAGGGTCTATGTATTTGTGAGCAGTGGGAAAACTATAGCTAGAACTTAGATTTCTTTGGGGGAGAGGAGGGCAAATTTCCAAAATAGAGGGGGCATTATTTAGGTTAATTAAGTGGTATATTAGCTAGATCATTGAAGTGTTTAATGGAAAAATAACAAAGTTAGGGGGCGAGCCCCTTGCCAGCCCCTTTCTTTGCCATTGTTTGTGACATATCGTCATCATCTATGTTCAACTGGATTCATCTACTATTCATGCTTAATTAGGATGATTCAATTTTTTCCCTTTGCTGGATTCTTTGTTATTAGTTTCTTCTTATATCTGCCTTAGCCCCTACTCCCTAGGCCTGTTTGGGACCGCAAGATATCTCATGGTGGTAGCGATCAAGGGAAGTGGAGAATCCCGCCAAACGTCAAGCAGTCCACTCAATTCTTATAACCACGTCCGACTCAGCCACCGCGAAAATGAACTACGAACACGATTTTAGGTATCGCGCCTTCCTCATCACCGCTCGTCTACCGCACCAAGCAGTGGGAGATCGTGGTCCCAATTAGGACCTCTATCTCACCTCAAATAGGTTGCCCCACCATGGCGCACATATTAGCTGTATACTCCTACTTGTTTTTATTGACGCTCTGCCATAGGCCCATAGCCATGGTGGTGCCCTTTTGGATCGGAATTGCGTGCTTTACCATGTACAACGTGGGGTTCTTATTTTTTATGTTATTTTAAATATACCATATGTAGTATCAGTTGCAACTTGGCTACCACCGTTGGCATCATTGTGGTAATATATTTTTCTTTATTATAAGAAGAGATAGGTATAAGGGCATTTTGGGTTAATGTTTTGTGTAAGGGCAGTGGTGGACTTGTGGGTAAGAAAATCAACACGAAGAATTTGTATCAGTAGACACAAATTAATTGACCTTGGATCCAAAAATAAATGAGAAATTTGGGTTTTGTTGCTTACGCTTAACTAACAATAATTGTTTTATACAAATTTAGTGGGGTATATATATATATATATATATATATATATATATATATATATATATATATAGATATATAGATAGATAGAGAGAGTGAGGTAAATATTCCCTTTGTCCTATATTAGATAATGTTTTAGAATCTCGCACTAAACCAACGCTCAAGCCAAAAGACCAAAATGCCCCTCAAGAGTAAAAATAGAGATGTATTAGCTAGAAAAAAAGAAAGATATATTGAGAAAAAAGAAAGACACATTGAAAGTGAGAAGGTTAAGTATTTTGGAACAAACTATAAGATGATTTATTTTGGGACAGTGGGATTACCATTAGTTTTGTTAACGGAAGTACCCTCATAAGCGTGGCATGCATATATAAATACTCCAAGCTACTCGTACAAATACTTACACAAGACAGGAACTGTCAAACATTAAACAAAAGTTTACGTTCTCAATTATTACGGAACAGATCCATCGGAGGTTGGTAATCATTTTTATATATAGACATACAATAATAACCATTCAGTCTCAGTTACATGACGTAGATACGTGAGTTTTAATTAATTTCAAACGTGTACTGCATACGCGCGGGAACGGTTATGAGAATCGCACTAGCTAGCTAGTAGCTATAGTTTATTATACGACTG